CTGGGATTATTCATCAAACATCTTGTCTGTACACTTCTCAACAAAAATGGGTAGCCGAAAGTAAAAATAGACATCTTATTGAAATTGCTCATACCCTACTTATACAATTTCATGTTCCGTTGCGTTTTTTGTGGGATGCAATTCTTACATCTTGCTATCTTATTAATCGTATGCCATCTTCAGCTATCCATAATCAAGTTCCATTTTCTGTCATGTTTCCCCACATACCTTTGTTCTCTTCCACCCCGTGTCTTTGGAAGCACGTGTTTCGTTCATAGCCTTACTCCAGGAAAAGATAAGTTAGCTCCTTGTGCTCTTAAGTGCGTATTTCTGGGTTACTCCAGAACGCAAAAGGGGTATTGATGCTATTCTCCTGACCTTCAGCGGTACCTTATGTCCGCTTCAGTGTTTTGGATAGCGTGCGACGACAAATAGCGATGAGGGCTCGCTTTACTGAGGCGAGAGGCGCGCAGCGAAGCGCTCGCCTTTTTGATGTGAAGCGACAATTTATACAAAAACATAAAATATTATATACATATAACTAAAAACTCAATAACAATAATATATTAATAAATATATCATTTGAAAATTAAAGACTCAATAGATAGTCATAGACTCATAGTAGATTTGAGAAAAAAAATTCAACGCTGTTTTATAGAAAAAAATTCATTTGAGTTCAAAATGCAATTAATTCTACTCTATAAGACTATAAATCTATAATTGAAAAAACAGAGCAACAAAGTAAATAAAGCTACTGTCTGCTCGATTTTGGAAAACAGAGCAACAAAAAAAAAAAAAAAGCTACTGCTGCCTCTGCTCGATTTTGAAAAACAGAGCAACAACAAAAAAAGGCTGCAACAAAAAAAATAAAGCTACTGAACAAAAGATAAACAAAGCTGGGCGGAAAGAGAAAGAAGAAAGAAGAAAGAAAAAGAAAAAAGAAGAACTGGAGAAGGGGTCGACCAGAAGAAGAAGAAGAAAGTAGAAGAAGAAAGGAGAAGAAGAAGAAAAGAAGAAGAAAAAGAAAAAAGAACTGGAGAAGAAGGGTCGACATCGACCAGAATAAGAAGAAAGGAGAAGAAGAAGAAAAGAAGAAAAAGAAAAAAGAAGAACTGGAGAAGAAGGGGTCGACGTCGACGAGAAGAAGAAGAAAGGAGAAGAAGAAATAAACATATTTGGGTCGCTGATGGCTGACAAAGACGATGGCAGAAGAAGCTTATTCAAAGAAGCTCTGTGTCAATCTCAAGCCCTAATTGCTGTTAAGTGCCTTTTTTCTTTTCTTTTTTTTAAATAGTGACGCTATGCTCGCTTCTCGCCTCACTGTCGCCTCTCGCTACACAAGCAGAGGCAATCGTTATTTTCAATCGCAACGCAACATGCTCTCTGTAGCGACACACGCTCGCCTCGCGTCGCTACACGCTTTTAGCGAGCGCTATTTATAACACTGGTCCGCTTATGTTACCTTCTTTGAAACCCAATCATACTTCACAGGTCCAGGTAATCACCTAGATATTTCTGAGGTGCTACCAGTTTCATCTTTTGGAGATTCCGTCACTATCTCCCATTCATCTTCCTCTACAAATCTAGCTCCACCACCTACAGCTCCAGTTGCAGCTCCACCATCTATAGCTCCAGTGCCACCACATATAGCTCCATTTCCACCACCTAGTCCAATTCAACCTTCTGCAGCTCCACCATTCTTGACTTATCATCGTCGTCCACGTCCAGCATCAGGCTCGGGTGATTCATGTCCTGCATCAGATTCTGCACGTACTACGGATTTGTCTCCTCTTAGTCAACCAATTGCACTCCGCAAAAGTGTACAATCCACACTTAATCCTAATCCTCATTATGTCGGTTTAAGTTATCATTGTCTGTCATCACCTCATTATGCTTTTATATCATCTTTGTCCACTGTTTCTATCCCTGAGTCTACAGGTGAGGCACTATCTCATCCAGGATGGCGACAGGCTATGATTGCCGAGATGTCTGCTTTACATGCGAGTGACACTTGGGAGCTTGTTCCTCTTCCTTCAGGTAAGTCTACTGTTGGTTGTCGTTGGGTTTATGAAGTCAAAATCGGCCTGAATGGCCAGTTTGATCAGCTTAAGGCTCGTCTAGTTGCAAAAGAATACACTCAGATTTTTTGGCTTGATTATAGTGACACTTTCTCTCCCGTGGCTAAAGTAGCATCTGTTCGTCTCTTTTTGTCCATGGCTGATGTACGTCATTCGCCTCTTTATCAGTTAGACATTAGGAATGCTTTTCTCCACGGTGATCTTGAGTAAGAAGTTTATATGGAGCAACCACCTGGTTTTGTTGCTCAGGAGGAGTCTAGTGGTCTTGTATGCCGATTGCGCAGGTCACTATATGGTTTGAAACAGTCCCCTCGAGCTTGGTTTGGCAAGTTCAGCACAGTTATTCAGGAGTTCGGCATGACTCGTAGTGAAGCTGATCACTCTGTTTTTATCGGCATTCTGTTCCTAATATGTGTATTTATTTGGTATTACTAGCAATGATTAGGATGATATTACTAATTTGAAGCAGCATCTCTTTCAACACTTCCAATCTAAGGATCCGGGCAGATTGAAGTATTTTCTAGGTATTGAGGTCGCTCAGTCTAGCTCAAGTATTGTTATTTCACAGCGGATGTATGCCTTAGACATTCTTGAGGAGACTAGAATGATGGGCTGCAAACCTATTGACACTCCTATGGATCCGAATGTTAAGCTTCTGCCTGGACAGGGGGAGCCTCTTAGAGATCCTACGAGATATAGAAGGTTGGTTGGTAAATTGAATTACCTCACAGAGACTAGACCTGACAGTTCTTTTCCGGTGAGTGTTGTAAGTCAGTTTATGGATTCTCCCTGTAATAGTCACTGGGATGCAGTTGTTCGCATTCTTCGGTATATAAAGTCAGCTCCAGGTAAAGGATTACTATTCGAGGATCAAGGCCACGAGCAAATTGTTGGGTACACAGATGCTGATTGGGCAGGATCACCTTCTGATACACGTTCTACGTCTGGATATTGTGTTTTAGTAGGAGGTAATTTGGTCTATTGGAAGAGCAAGAAACAGAATGTAGTTGCTCGATCTAGCGCCGAAGCCGAATATCGGACCATGGCTATGGCAACGTGTGAGCTAGTTTGGGTCAAGCAGTTGCTCAAGGAGTTGAAGTTCGGAGAAATCAGCAAGATGGCACTGGTGTGTGATAATCAAGCTGCTCTTCATATTGCGTCAAATCCGGTATTCCATGAGAGGACTAAACGCTTTGAGATCGACTGTCACTTTGTCAGAGAAAAGATAGTCTCAGGAGATATTATAAAGTTTGTGAAGTCGAATGATCAGGTATTTTCACTAAGTCTCTTACTGGTTCTCGTATTAGTTACATCTGTAACAAGCTCGGTACATATGATTTATATGCACCGGCTTGAGGGGAGTGTTAAGTAGTTAGTCATGTATAATGTCCCACATCGGAAAGTAGATACCTATTATTATGTAATCACTGTATATAAATAGGGCACTGTACAACACTTTAGATAATTAATAATATTTTTTCCCGTGCATTCTCACAGATAGCTCGCCAATGGAAGCTTATATTCCCACTGTCACTGCTGTCTGAGATTCTTTCCCTTCTTCTCTATTTTATTTTAAGTTTTGTGTGTGTATGTATATCTGTTTATGTACTGCTACTACCATTTCTCAGAATTATCCAAAACAAGCTCTTTGTTTCCCTTCTTCTTTTTTTGGAGGGGGGAGTAGGGGGTTGAAGACCAAAAACTGCAGGGATCATCAAGATGCTTCTCGAAAATTTAGCTTTCCTGATTTCACATATCCCAAAATTTTCCTTAAGCTATACTATGAAAACAAGTGGCCGCAAAATGAATAGGGAGCGATTATCCGTGCAAACAAATGGAAGACAATTGACCAGATTGAATGGGGAGTAATTATCTTCGTACATTTTTCTTAAACCCCTCAGTTTAAGTCTGGGCACGATTCAAAGCATGCTTGTTAATTGGATAAAGAAGTCAAGAGCCATGAACATATAACTAACTATTTTACCACTTGTATAGAAATACAACTGAATTATTTTACCATTTGTTCCTTGCATCTGCATGCAGTTCTCAGAGAAAGATCCTGGTGACCCTGAGCTTGATAAGCCATCTATTTCCTCTTCACTACAAGCTGAAGAGCCATCAGTTCCAGCAACCTTTTGTCCAACTTCTAGCCTTTGGTTATCATGAGCCAAGACAAGCGGCTTCACATCAGAAGGTAACTTGGCCAGTAGAAAGCTTTGAGTTTCTTTGTTGGCGTGTTTTGGGATATAGTCGTTCAGACTCCCCTTAATCCTCCATCTTGATCCACAAGCATTGCACAGCACTGGCTTTTCTGGTGGTCCAGGTCTCCAAAGTGGGGTATCTGTTTAAGTTCACAGTTCATCAGTGCTGCAACTATGAAACACCTATTAAAGGAATTCTGTACAGCTGATGAAGTTGTCCCAGAAACTGCTCAAGCATAGAATAATTGAAAACAACTATGAACATTGAGCAATAAATCAGAAGTATTATGAAACTAAAGCTACAGCGACTTTTTGGCAAAACCAGTGGAAAGTGCGTCCATGTAAGATATGCCTCGGCTTTTAAGAATGTGTAAAAGAAAGTTTGTCATTTGCATTTTCTTCACCAGTTAAAGGACCCATATAAATTGAGGTAAACGGTGGTCGACAAATGATTAAATGAATATGAATCATTAAGTAAAATGAGCAAAGACAATATGTCTTGTTCAAATCAGGAAATATCAGAAATTTGCTCTGTAAAAAAGCTCATGGATTGGGAGTTCCTGGATTTCATTATGATGTGGATGGGGTTTGGGGCAAGATGGAGGGGATGGATCAAGTTCTGCATTTCCTCAGTCAGATTCTCTGTCCTGGTTAATGGTAGCCCGTGTGGTTTCTTTGGCACATGCTATTCATTCTAGTGATGGATGTTGTGAGTAAAATGATGGATCGTGCGGCGGGCGGAGGCTTCTTGAGAGGATTCTCAGCTCCGAACGGGGTGTCCAGTGCCCGAAGAGTCTCTCATTTGCTTTTTGCGGATGACATCCTGGTTTTCTGTGATGCCGATATGGATCAGTTGACCTACCTGAAGCAGGTCCTGCAGTGGTTTCAGATAGTATCAGGTCTCAAAATCAACCTCGGCAAGTGTGAGATTTTCTAGGTGGGTGAGGTTGCTAACATTGATGCTTTGTCTTATGTTCTCAGATGTAAGGTGGGCTCCCTTCCCACTACTTACCCGGGTCTCCAATTGGGCGCTTCGCATAAGGATACTACGGTTTGGAATCCAGTGATCGAAAGGGTTGAAAAAAGATTAGTAGGCTGGCAGAAACGGTACTTGTCAAAAGGCGGAAAGGAAGTGCTCATTAAAAACACTTTATCGAGTATGCCAACCTATTACTTGTCCCTGTTGCAAGCTCCTGTGAGCATCACAGAAAAACTGGAGCGGCTTCAAAGGAATTTTCTTTGGGATGCAACGGATGGAACTAGAAAGTATCATCTAGTGAATTGACAGACAGTCACTTCCCCAAAGAAGTGGGGTGGACTTGGAGTAAAAGATCTTAGGGTATTCAACAGAGCTTTGTTGGGGAAATGGCTGTGGAGATTCGGGGTAGAAGAGCATGCTCTATGGAGGGAGGTCATAGTAGAAAAGTACGATTCCACGGGAGGGGGTTGGAGGACCAAGGCAATCACAACACTTTTCGGGTGTGGCATGTGAAGGAGCATCATGAAGAATTGGGAATCCTTCAGTGGCAACATCACTTACAGGGTGGGAGATGGAGGAGAATTAGCTTTTGGAATCATATGTGGTGTGGAGAGGATACTCTGAGGGTCTCCTTCCCCACGTCTTCAGAGTTTTAAACCAGAAGGAATTGATGGTCCAACAGATTCGTAAGGAGCATGTAAGGGGGGGTAGTATGGGACCTCTCATTTAGAAGGAACATGCAAGATTGGGAGATTGCGGAGCTCCTAGATTTATTGACACTGCTATATGGGCAAGACATGCCTCAGCCATCTTGTGATTCTTGGATATGGGGTTTGCGTGGCGATGGTCTGTTCACCGAAAGTCTTTTTACCAGAGTATCGTTGGTGGTGAGAGTAGGAGGCCTTT